GCTCATTGCACAGCAGCCTACGGCAGCTAGAGCACGACTCCTCCAATGGAGTCCCCCAATTAATACATGGTAAAGGGTCACATCTTGTGCTACCGCTTAATCAGCTTGCCCGCATATCTCACTCTCTCTCTCTCTCGCATAGCGGGCATATGGAGTGCGTGGTGGCTTGATGTGCACCTATACGCCATACGGGCTCACTGAGCTAGATACATAACAATTCGCAAAGGTAATCCATAACTCCTCTAGTACTCTAACTCGACCACAACTCTAAANCTCTCTCTCTCTCTCGCATAGCGGGCATTTGGAGTGCGTGGTGGCTTGATGTGCACCTATACGCCATACGGGCTCACTGAGCTAGATACATAACAATTCGCAAAGGTAATCCATAACTCCTCTAGTACTCTAACTCGACCACAACTCTAAACCAGGTCTCCCGCTCTCCCTCAGCTAAACATGGTCCTTCGAGCCGGATCACCCGCGGCTTATGATACAGTCCACTAGACGATCAAGTCGTCTAGGGGGACCAGGATGTTTAGGCGACTAATGCATTTCCCGCATAAACAAATAACAGCGAACACCCGAACGTATTTATTTTGCATTTCCCGCACAAACCAAGTGCAGCGAACACACCCACGCACTGTGTTCAAAAGTACTTCGCTCGTTCTTAATTGGGCCTGCAATTCTCAAATATCTCTTCGCTGAACCTAGTGAAGTCAATGGTCAATGCTAACCCAGCTTGGTTCATCACAATGCAACGATGCTTTAGGCATCACTTTCACTCCACGCCCGGAGTATTTTTGGTATGGTATTAAGTTACGGCTTACAAACCACACTGGGGCTCTGCATGAGTGTATCCCTGAATAAATCCCAGCCAATTGCACAGCAGCCTACGGCAGGTAGAGCATGACTCCTCCAATGGAGGCTTCCAATTAATACATGGTAAAAGGGTCACATCTGGCGGTACCGCTTCGTCAGCTTGCACGCATATCCCACTCTCTCTCTCTCTCTCGCAAAGCAGGCACTTAGATTGCGTGGTTGGCTTGATGTGCACCTATACACCATACGGGCTCACTGAGCTCGATACATAACCACTCGCAAAGGTAATCCCCACCTCCTCTACTCGACCACAACTCTAAACATGGTCTCACGCTCTCTCTCTGCTAAATACCTATTATATTTATATTTCCCAATTGTAATTGTTCATTGGTTGATTCTATGTATCCTAAAATTTCNACTCGCAAAGGTAATCCCCACCTCCTCTACTCGACCACAACTCTAAACATGGTCTCACGCTCTTTCTCTGCTAAATACCTATTATATTTATATTTCCCAATTGTAATTGTTTATTGGTTGATTCTATGTATCCTAAAATTTCAAAATTGTTAAGATGATTATCTTTTAAATAATTTCAAATTTTGGTTTCAATATTTTCATAGGTTTTATAACTCATTACAGTATTTTTTTCAAATGTACTAAATAGGTTCCTGATAAAGTTTGATTTTCTAAAATATTTTCTCCTGAAAGCAGTAGTGCTCCTCGTTTTATTATTTCTATTTGAAAATTTCTTTCTTTTATTTTTTCCATTTTGTTTTCTATTTAAAATTTCTGATAAACATGTAATTTGCTTGTTCAGTTTACAATATGTAATTATAATTTCTGTTTTCCAATTTTGTACATTAAAATATTCATAATTAAATTCTGTTATATTGTCGCGTACTGGCCGCAACAAAATAAACATTTGTTTCCCCTTCGTTCTTTTTACCTATTTCATTTCACTCTAACCGATAGGAGTGAAGCTTGCCGACAATGATTGCACATACTTACATATGTGCATATGTACAAGTAGAATTGGATGCACTCAAATTGAGTGAAATGATTGTTTGGCGGTGGCGCGCTGCCGCGAAGGGGAAAAGTGTTCACTATTGTACTCCGCCCAAAAACGGTGTCGATCAAGAGCAATATTGTAGGAAAGAGAAATGATGCGAAATACCTCAGTAGGGGTGTTGCCTTTTTGCTCACTCATTGCGGCACTTTTGTTGTCCGCCGTATGATATCAATGGCAAAGCCCATGGTGTTTGGTTGTGTGCGCCGTGGTGGCGACCGCGAAAACGCCCAATTCTGTTTTAAGGAATAATGGGCCGGCGCCAATTGATCGGGCACCAACAACACCGGCACTGAGGCCCTATGTTTTTGCGGACCGGCGCGTTGGTTGCGGCCCAACTCGCAGCTGCGCGCCGTGGCAGAACAAAAAGAGCATTAAGTGAGGCAACACCTTTATTCCGAGTGCGTGAAGAAAAATTTAAATATCGCAGTGGAAAAAATTAAGGAAATATAAACAAAAAAAGGATTTGTGTGCAAAAAAAGTGTATGTAGGATTTGTGAGAGTGCCAACCGGAGCACTGCAGTATAGAGGGGGAAACAGAAAGTGTGGAGCAGCGCCAGACGGGGCGAAGTGATATCGGCAACGGAGTTGGAGCGTGTACCCCCAAGGAGCAACCCCGCTGTCGTCCACCGACCGCTCGATAAGTATTTTGTTGTTGTGTCTAGATTTGGCTATTTTTGTTGTTGGTTGGCTTCCCCTATTGTGTGTCCTAATCCTATCCTTTTTGGCATCCTACACCCTGAGCCCAGTAATTTCGGCGGGTTAAAGTTACCCCCGGCAGCTTGGATGGTATTGCGAGTGGGTTCGTAACCGTTTGGTTGGGCCTCACCTCGGGTGCGCCCCAAAAACAAGGCATTGTCTTTTTAAATATTCGTGTTTTAAACATTTTCTGTTTACCTAAAATTTTCGACCCACCCTATTCTTGCATACATATATATATATATGGTGCCGTTTGGTATTTTTGTCGTTTTTGTCCCTAGATAGATTTTGTTTGTTAGGTATCTGGATTGCCACTGAGCCAGCCGGTTGCTTGGAATTTTTCTTGTTATCTCCCTTTTGTGCGTGTATTTGTTTATTTCGTTTGGCCCCCTTGTGTTGTTGTTGCACACGGTAAGTGCGTTAGGTCGCCGGTAAAGACATATTAGGATGCACAAAATTTGAAGGTGACAAATTGGCGCCCAACGTGGGTCTCGACTTTAGGCAAGTAATTTTGCGGCGAGTTTTTCCCCCCATTAAATCACAAAGGACGTTTTCTACGTGGGATTACTTTTTCCAAAAGGTTTGTGTAACCCAAGGAGCTTAAAAGCAGGTGAGAAATTTGTGGTGGAAAATGGTGCAGTGAAAGGACCCATATATACGAGCGCATTTATTGTGCAGTAGTAGTGTTGTTGTTNGAGCAGCGCCAGACGGGGCGAAGTGATATCGGCAACGGAGTTGGAGCGTGTACCCCCAAGGAGCAACCCCGCTGTCGTCCACCGACCGCTCGATAAGTATTTTGTTGTTGTGTCTAGATTTGGCTATTTTTGTTGTTGGTTGGCTTCCCCTATTGTGTGTCCTAATCCTATCCTTTTTGGCATCCTACACCCTGAGCCCAGTAATTTCGGCGGGTTAAAGTTACCCCCGGCAGCTTGGATGGTATTGCGAGTGGGTTCGTAACCGTTTGGTTGGGCCTCACCTCGGGTGCGCCCCAAAAACAAGGCATTGTCTTTTTAAATATTCGTGTTTTAAACATTTTCTGTTTACCTAAAATTTTCGACCCACCCTATTCTTGCATACATATATATATATATGGTGCCGTTTGGTATTTTTGTCGTTTTTGTCCCTAGATAGATTTTGTTTGTTAGGTATCTGGATTGCCACTGAGCCAGCCGGTTGCTTGGAATTTTTCTTGTTATCTCCCTTTTGTGCGTGTATTTGTTTATTTCGTTTGGCCCCCTTGTGTTGTTGTTGCACACGGTAAGTGCGTTAGGTCGCCGGTAAAGACATATTAGGATGCACAAAATTTGAAGGTGACAAATTGGCGCCCAACGTGGGTCTCGACTTTAGGCAAGTAATTTTGCGGCGAGTTTTTCCCCCCATTAAATCACAAAGGACGTTTTCTACGTGGGATTACTTTTTCCAAAAGGTTTGTGTAACCCAAGGAGCTTAAAAGCAGGTGAGAAATTTGTGGTGGAAAATGGTGCAGTGAAAGGACCCATATATACGAGCGCATTTATTGTGCAGTAGTAGTGTTGTTGTTTGTATTTCACTTAGTTGTGTCCATATATTGCGCACATTAGGCCTGTTCATTTGGCTAATTTTGGGTTTATTTTTTTCTAACAAAATTTTTGTTTATTTTTTTTAGTAGATTTAAATAGAAGGCGTTCTGGAAAAAAACAGGTTCGTGGCGGAACGTAGTGGAGTGAACGAAGCCGAGTTGGAAGCTGGGTATTTTTGTTTATTTGCAAGCGGACGCTTGTGCAAGCGGATCACAGATAAGTCTAGTGTATAAGCGACTAGGGCGCGGAAAAAAAATTAAACAACTAAAAGAAAACCTAAGTGAAAAAAACAATTTCAATTTAATTTTCTTGTGGAAGCGAGCTTTTTTCTTCGTTGAGCTTAGACAAATTTTGAATTAGTAAAGTCTAGATAAGTATTATAATCCAACAAAACAAATTACACACACATATATAGTATATTGCGAAGCGAACTTAAATACTCGCTGAAGTTTAGTTTTTTTGGTACGCACATACATATACTTGCATCAAAATATTAGCCGCTCCTCTTTGCGTCGAAATTTTCTCGCACCCATATTTTCATAATTATATATATATAAATATATATATATATATATATGTACGTACATATATATTTACTATTACTTGTACATATCTAGTCGCCGTGTTGTTTTAGTAGTACGTTTACTTTTTGTTTGTTTTTTTGTGTGGTTAGGCTCTATGGTTATCGCGCGTGTTAGGGTCATTTTGTTGCGGCGGTATAGGGCAAATTACACTCCAGCAGTAAAGAGAGGTATAGGCATTAGAGTAGCAAGTGGGCGCGAACTGGTCGGTAGTAAACGATATCTGGTTTTTATACATACAACGATTTTAAAAGTTTTGTTTTCGCGAGTTTTGATTTTCGGTCGTGTTCTTAAACTGTTAAGTCGTTGTAAATTTTTTTCGGTTTTGTTAATTATTTTTGGAAAATATTGATTTTATTCGAACCTTTTGAAATTTATTTTAAATAATCGATCTCTTGGTTCGGCAACTTATTTCCTACTTAGTTTACCGAATTTTATTTCTCTTTAATTTTCGGTTTCCTGCTTTTACGGTCCACCTTGTCGAGGACATGGACGCCAATCTCATACAGTTTGATTGATTTCATGCCTTTGTTTTTTAAATGAAAAATATAATATGCGTGCGGCTGGCAACCCTAATGCTTTGCTATTGTGAATTATCCGTTGAAATAAACTGCATTGTAATATGTAATGTGCTGATATTGTAAGCGATGACATCGGGTGACCTGTGTTCGCAAGTAACGTAACTTCACTTTTTGTTTAACCATCGCCGCGGCCGCATCGCACTTCCACCTATCTATCGATATTTATTAATTAAGCCACTCGGGCTAAATTGGATTCGTACATTCAACTAACTGTAACCATCAATACGTTCAATAAAACCATTGTGCCGAATTATTTGAATTATACAAAATCCATCAGCTTATTAATTTATTGCGGATCT